AAAATATAAAGTGTACCAAGGATCGGCAACAAGTCAAGTAAAAAAAAAAAAATTGAAAACAAAATACTCACACACATAAAACACTTGGGGAATTATGACAAGCTATAAAGGTTATAATCCCACTTTTGAAACTATTTATATTTTTTTCAGCAATAGCTGTTTACATTTTCTTCACCAGATTTACAGATGCCACCATGTGAGCCAACAACTCAACCAGGACTGAAGTCTTAAGGTTTTAACTAAAAGAGAAATTTGATGTTATTAACATATTAAGATGATGTGGCTGACTTTTCAGCAAAATACTTGACTATGAACACATCTTCTTCTTACTAGCTACTTGCTGTCTTTGTTTGTGTACCATTTGGTGCTGGGCAGGTAGCTTATGGATGGTTTTTTTTTTTAGAGCTTTCTGGTGAAAACCATTAGTACCGTTCTTGTAATCCATTGTTAATATAAACATTTTCATAGTGGCCACTTAAATAGTTTGTGAGTATCCACCTCTTCACTGCTAATGCTAAAGGCATCCAGAGTTAAGTGAAGTATACTGTGTGTTTAACTGATAACGAAATGCAAAAATATATTAAATTTATGAATACATTTGAAAACATAAAGCAAGTGTTATTTTAGTCTGCCTCTAACTACAGTCTGTCTTACTGAGACACCATTTTCCTATATCTGAACTTGACTGAAACATCCTGCATTATTCTGTTTGTCAGACAGAAATGGGCTTGAAAAATGTGCAAAATCATATTCTATTGTGCACTTTTTCTTCATGGGTAAAAATAGACATGTGTGGCCAAAGCTGCTGACTGTAAGAGAAGAGTGGTGAGGAACAAGACGGGACCACACAATGAAATGTCAGCTTCATGTTCTTTCATATGACCCAGTTTTTGGGCAAATGTTTATGACCTAAATGTTAAGAACATTGAACAGTGTATCAACATTTTGCGCGAATGCAAATAAACTTATCTTCTGTACCATCTTCTCATGAAGCTCACCAAAGATATATGACCAACAAGCACACAATAACAAAAGATCACGATCAGCTGTCTGCGTATCTATGTCCATTGGACACATGAAGGACATGTACACATCAAGGATCCTATTCTGCTGATTAGATAACACGGACTGGTATATAACATCAATTATACCATTATGTATGTCACTGAAGGGAACACACACAGGAGGAGATGTTCGGATAAAAAGCAACACAAAAACTAATAGAGTCTGTAGGGCTCAGGAGTTAGTGGGTAAGGCTTTAGAAAAAGTATGTCAGCAGCAATCATTATGTAGAAATGAATATTATGAGTAAGACTAACAAGAGAACTTTTTAGATATTTGGCAGCATTGTAAATGAAATGAAATGTCCTCATGTTGCATTGTGATAATTAAGTGTTGAATCTCTCAGGCTTATCTCCAATGATCAAACACTATATCAGTAAATGGAAAGAACACAACTGTGGTATGAATGAGAAAAACGAGTTTTGGAAGCTTTGAAACACACAAAAAAAAAATCGTGGATGAGCAGCGGCCAGTGAAAACATTTTACAACACATCACAGACTTCAACAGGGAAGGCTTCGCTGCCTCAGGTCTCGGCACTGAGACGTGTGATAATGTGCAGCTGGTAAATCGCAAAGTGGTTCTATAGCACATGGTTAGATCTTCTGCTTCATTTTGGTGTGTGAAAAAGAAAATGTCTCTTTCAAAATAAACTTACTCACTGTCATTGTTTTCCCTTGAAATTTCATTTGTCGTCACTAAAGCTCTGACATACACAGTCCTACCACAAGTCAAATTTTTTTGTCAGGAAAATCTTTTTCTTGATACAGTAGCGCAGGATTGCATCATCTAGCTAGCTGGTTAGCATGCTAACATCACTGGTAAGTAAACAGCTGTTAATGCTGATGTTAGCTACTGTATGTAGCAGTAGCAAAACTTACAAATAGCTCCTTTAAATATCGAATGTTTGGTATCTATACAGAAGAGAAAACGTAAACTGACGCACTGCAACGATCATTTTTGGCTCGTACGAATGAAGGATTTACTGTAATATAAAGTCAGATTATCTACAGTAGATTCATAGTATTCAGTATATTCAATAAAGAAAGTTCTTAAACATCATTCGTATCTTCTGACTTCTGCCTAAACTGCACAATTTCTCTAAAAGCCGTTTGTATTGTCTTGAGGAAACGGCCGCTGCACGCTCTGCTTTGGTAAGACTTAGCCGGCGCTTGACAGCATTATTTCATATAGAGCAGTTTATTTTGAATTGCAACACTGATTTAAATTCAGAGATGATTATAAGCAATGTTTCTGATACTCTGGTAAACACAGCGTGTCGACCAGATTCCTGACAGATGTTATCATTCTGTGTGCTATGTGAATTTTTGAAGCCAGAACTGTAAAAAAAAAGAGCCAATGTAAAATACTTTAACTCTAGTTTAATTGACAAACAACTAATTTAATTGTAAATTTTTTTTTTTAGAGTCTTACTTTAAATATAGCTGCTTTTCCCATTTTAATGACAGCGTTATTCGGGTTGTATCCACTGCTTTTATTGCTTTAAATCAGCACACGTTACAGATAGAGTGAATCCATTTGCACTTTTCTACTTGAAGCCAAATTAATGCCACTTTCTCGCAGTGCCAAAAATGCTGAATTAGCCTACGTCTTCCTCTCAGAATCCACACACACACACACACACAGACACACACACACACATATTCCTTCCATGTTAGGCCTATGAGAGTATGTTTGAAGAGAATGGGCAGCTCATTATTTCAGCCCAAAGTGACCTGCCGTTGACACCCAGAACAGTGTGTGGGACAAAGCAGCTAGTTAGAGGGAACGTATTGTTCGGCGGCCGCAGCCGGAGGAAACTCACTCAGACACTCTCAATGAGCCTGCTACCTTTCCATCCGGCTGCCTGATTGTCCCTTTCCTGTGCTTGTTCCTGTGAACTCTCTGAAAAATAACCTATTAGCAGGGTTTACTGTTAGCTGGCTCTCTGTCCAGTCTAAATTTGGATTTTTTTTTCCAATTCAATAAACACTAGTTTTCTCCACCCTGGGGCTATTTATGGCCACAGTCATGCCTTGTTAGATTAAGACAGAGTGACCGTCCCCACAGATTGTGTAAGCGCTTCCTTATGACACATATCATGCACATTTTGGTTAGAGTACTTGTGAGGACCTTCATTGAATCTACCATAACTGAGGCCCTCATTCCTTCCACTGAATAACATACTGAAGATAATGAATTAAGTAAATATGGGATTTGTGAGCCCACAGGATAATTGGAAATAAAAGTTAGTCTTATAATGTGTGAGCTGATTGAGGAAATCTAATGAGTAGTTCTTGCTTTTTTATTCTTTGTATTGGTTAATCATTTCCTGCTGTGCTTCATTTTGTTCTATTTTCATTTTTAATTCTGAGCCTTGAATTTTCTGTTCTCTGTTTTAATGTCCTCTGATGCACTCTTAAAAAAAGCATACCGGTATAATTCTGTACACCAGTAAAAAGTATTAACTAAAAAGCAGTGCAATTGCAGTTAAACTAAAAAAAACAGTTAGCTATTGTATTATCTCTAAAGCTATTAATACTCATTTATAGGACTGTGTGGCTTAATGACAGCATGAGGAAACAACTACAAAACTGTCACCAGACTTAGATTCTTACTGATGCATGGAAATATGTGACACTACGTTTTTCCACCCACTGCAAACAAGTGTGAAGAGCATAAATAGAAATCTGTCATGTGAAATCACCACATGTTTTGACTCACTAAGTGTTGTGCTCATGTAAGTAGTTGTAAAACACATAAACTATGGACTCAAATAATGAACAGAGGCTAATCTGCTGTGCGGTCCTGTCAGTAGTTTTTCATGCCTCCATTAAAAAATGATAATCAGACTCCTTCATGGGATTGTGTGGGAGCGTAAACTCTGTGCTTGACTGACGTTCCTCTGACCCTTTATCATTACTATGGTTTGTGAAGTTTGATGACCTCGTATATTTTCAGTTTAATTTTTAAGGGAATTTTTCTTGTATTTGAGTATTTTCATTTTCTGCTACTTTTTTCTTCCAGTTGTAAAAATTGTATTTTGTAGTTCATTATATATAAATACATATATTATATTCTAACTGCTATAGTAACTAGTTAATATGGGGATTTAAAATTTCCTTAAACAATATATAGTCAGCTTACAAAAAGTAAGTGTAAAGTATAAAAAGTTACATGTTAACGTATCAATAATAGTGATCCAATATCAATAATAACAATAACTGGCTACTCTCCACTATAAGTATTTATATTTTTATACTTGAAGTACATTTCGCTGATACTACCACTATATTTTTACTTAACACAATGTTGCTGTTCAATGAAAACCATGGATCTAATTTTTTTATTCATTTTATTTTTTTCAAAGAAACAGAAAAATGACTTGTTACTTCATGCGTTGAGATAGTTCTCCGTACGTGAAGGACCCGATCATATTCCAGATCTGCTTAATCACTCGTTTGGGTCATTTTGGAAATCACACACAAACAACCTGTTTAGTTATTTTCGTACGAGGGCTCGTTGACCCGAATTGTGAGACTAAACTCAGTTTCTGTTAAAAGGCAGGGAGTGACAAGATGTCCTCACTTCAGGGGATTTTCTGTCCTTGTGTGAATGTCTGCTTCTCCTTGTAAGTACTCAGATACAAGAACACACACAAACACCCCTCAGCACCACACACACACACACACACACACACACACACACACACAGGCTGATCACAAAGACATTTAAGATGTGTGAAGCAATTTAGTCACTGTGGAACTGTCACATATGTTTTTCAGCAGTCAGGAAGTAGTCTGGAGGAAAATTAGTGTCGAGGAGTCTCCTCATCCTCCCACACGTCTTATCTCATTGGCTGAGAGGCGTGATGTCACAGTGTGTACTACCCTATAAAAAGGGCCTCTGCCACACAGACGGCAGACCAGCTGAGAGCTGACAACAAGGCAGACAGCTCTGTAACATACTTTACAAACACTTTCAAAACCTTTGGAAATATTCACATCTCACCATGTGCAGAGGACTCGAATCACTGCCCATCACCTGCCTGGAAAGGTGAGATCCACAAGATATTTTTCTGTTTAGGAGGAAAAGTAATTATTCTTGCACTTGCTGAATTTTCAACTTTTAGTCTTTTTGTAACATTTTCTCCCTCTGTATCTTTGCAGGGCAAAGGAGCTGAAAGCTTTGTTTGGAAGTTTACTACAGAAGTCAGATCACAGCATCACCGGGCATTCAAAGAAAAGGTAAGGAAACATTCAAATTCTCTATTTAAGCCTGTCTGTGAAATTTCAGTGGACAACAGGGATTTCTGGATCTTTTCCTGATGAGATGTTTCTGTTGCTGCAGGTTTAATGTCAACGAGCCTCTGAAATGGAAGGAGTCGTTTGAGAAACTGCTGTCCAGCCAAAGTAAGTACAATCCTCCACATCACATTTAGGTTTTCAATCATTCCAGATGTTTTCTGATGACTACCAGATGTTAACCTACTCTCTTCCTCCTGTCTCCAGATGGACTGTGCCTGTTCAGAGCATTCCTCGTCTCAGAGTTCAGTGAGGAGAACATCGTCTTCTACCTGGCTTGTGAAGACTACCGCACAACTAAACCCTCAAAACTGGCCGCTAAGGCTAAGAAAATTTACGACGAGTTTATCGGAACTGATGCACCACGAGAGGTAAATATCAAATAACTAAAAGTGGACACATTAGGATGCTCTGTCACACTTATCTTGCTGTGAAGTGCTAATCATCAACTCTCTACCTCCTGTCTTCCTCTATAGGTAAATCTAGACCATGTGACCAAGGCTATCACAAAGGAGAACATGAAGCATCCCAGCCAGTCCTGTTTCGACCTGGCCCAAGCCAAAATCTACACCCTGATGGAGAAGGACTGCTACCCTCGCTTCCTCAAATCCTCCACATACCTGGACCTCAGCAGAAAGACCAAGTCAGGCAAATAGACTTTTCTTTTTAAAAACTTTCCTTGCGAGCAGCAGGCGTGATGACTTCACTCCTCAAAGGGACATAAGCTTAGTGACGCGCAGCGGAGACTGGAAAAGGTTGAGAAGGAACAAATACCTCAGCCCAAGGAGTTTCACGCCGTTTTTGTGTGGATGTTATTTTGGAGAGCGGAGGTCCCACACTGATCAGAGTCCGGCCTGGAAGCTAAAGGACGCTGTAGCTGTGAGAAGAGACTGACACAGACTGAGCTGCGGGCGATGTCTGCCTCGGGAAGAGACACATGTACTGTATATACAGGGCTGCATGAACAGCAGTCGCAGTGGCATGAAGTGTAAAATGCAGAGAGACAGAAAAATGTTTCACACAACAAAACTACCACTGTGAGAGATGCTGAGTCTTCTCCGTAGCATTAACGTTTATTTATTCTTTATTTATTTATTAAAAAGTTAATTTTTTCTATGTGAATGTTTGCTGTGCAACTGGTTGGTGAAAACTGATTTGTATTTTATATGTTTTTATATATATATATATATATATATATATATATTATTGTTGCCTATGTGAAACTAAGTGCATTGAATAAAACATTGCCAATTTTCTGAGACAAAAGATTAGTGTTTTGTTCCATGGAAAAATTCACTTGTAGGTGGATGTGGTTACTGAGGGCATGAAAAATGTAGGAGGAAGGGAGAAGAAGACTTGCTCATGTACACTGTTACAGTTGCTAAATAATCTGAGGCCTCAGTGGTTCCACTTCACAAGTTGGTGGCGAAGACTGGATGACTCTTTTTCTCTGGGCTGACAGTGAATGGAAGATATGAGGCGAGTCTGTGTGTGAATGTGTGTGAAAGTATGTCAGTTTCACTATTTTTATGAATGGGCCCACGGGAATCTGTTTTTGACCCATGGTGAGAGGTAAAAGTTTAGGTAATTTTTGCCGGGTTTCACTTCCACAAGATTTACAGTAGGTCTTTCATGTAGATAAAGAGACAACTTTTATAATGAATAATGACTTTATTAATCCCCAGTGGGGAATCTAGTCACCCATGTACAGTCAGAAACAGGAAATACAAGTCAGACAGGGCTTAATACTAAAAATGTTCCAGAGGACATTAGTGTATCTGAACCGCCTAGTAACTGAATTGAAAAATAAATAAATATACAGATACATAGGCTTCCATCAAATTGTTGAAATTTAAATAAATGTATACTTTTTCTTAAGCGAACAGGGAAAATAATTGCTTAAAGGCATAGTTTGACATTTTGGGAAATATGCTTATTAGTATAAAGACTGGTTCAGTCAAACAAGGTATAATGTGTTAAATAGTGAGCTGGTAGGTGGATATTTTCACCCTCAGACAGAGCCTACTGTTTGCCTCGTTTCCGGTCTTTATGCTAAGCTAAGTCTTTATCTTGGCTCTATCTAATTATATTTAGTGTAAAGACAGTATCAATCCTCTTATCTAACTCTAAAAAATGTACAGTTCCATGGCAAATGGTCAAACTCCATCTGCTGAATCCTGTTTCTCATTAAAAATGAACAATGAAACTCAATATAAATACAATTTTAAGCATTAAGATTAGGTTAGGCAGGTCAGCGTATAAGTTAAAGCAATAGTTCGACATTTTGAAGAAATTTTCTGCTGTTAGATGAGAAGACCAATCTAACTCTCACATCGCTAAATATGTAGCTGGAGCCTGCACCCACTTAGCTTAATTTAGCAATTTAGCTTCTGACTTAAAGATGTAAAGATTAAAGGAATCATTCTATATTTTGGGATAAAAGCTTGTTCACTTACATGTTGACCTAGATGAGAAGAGCAATCTCGTATCTGTACGCTAGCTAATGGATGTAGCTACAACCAAAAGCCAGTTAGCTTAGCTTTACTTAGCACAAACACTGGAACCTGAGGGAAACAGCTAGCCTGGCTCTTCCCTAAGGTAACAACATCCACAAACCATAGATTAACATTAGACGTTGGAAATAGGAAGCTCACAGGGCAGAAGTGCAAGGCTTTGAAATACAGTGAGTGTGTGCGTCCAAAAAAACAAGTTCATTTTTCTAGGAAGCATCTGAGTGTGAGGGCCGGTTGCCTTGGAGACAGTGGCCACCTACTGAGCACCTCCACAGGAAGGTCTGTTTACTACCTTAGCAGCCACTCACAGCCTGTGAGTCACAGCAGCCTCCCCTCCCTTCTGTTAATCAGCCCCTTCCCTCCATTCTCATGCCGTCCATCATTGCCGCCTCCTCGCCTCTCTCCTCACCGCTCTCCCCTTCCCACGCTCTCCTACCGCCAACAGCCAACTCCTGCTCAAATACTCAGCCCCTAAAGAGGTGAGGGCGAAGTCATTAACACCACTCTCACACTCATGGAAAATGACACAAGGCTATACCTCCACTCCTCTTCCTGTCACCCACAAGTGATGTGTAATGAGGCCTCTTCTTCACCTGGACGTACAGTAGCTGAGAGTAAGTGAAGAAACCCTGATGTGTGCGTTTTTTTTTTTTGGCTCAGCAAACTGAAACTCGTCCACAGGGAACAGATGGACTTCTTATTGTCACTTACTCTGCTGCTGTACCACCTGATGTTACACATATCGTTATTTGTGTGCAGCATTCTGTTTTGGCAGATGTTCATGATTCATTTCTAAGTTGAGATATAATTGCAAAATCCTACTTTGGAAGAAAAAACAAAAAACAAAAAAGCAGAAGCAGAAGCAGCATGTAGAGACTTGATCACACGCAGCTGCTTGTGAGTGAACACAAGTTGTATTTCTCTTTGTGTAACTTGATATTGTGTTATCAGAAGAGTTAAGTTGAGAAATATTTTAAGCACAAATAACGCGTAGCAACAGAGATAGAGAAAAACAGGAAAAAATTAAATGGTTTTTATGTCTCTAAGGAAACAGGCAATAACTACTTGGATCAGCCCAAAAATAAACAAAAAAACACAAAATTTAAGAATTTTTCAACGTTACCGTAGCGACATCTGCCTGTATTGTTCCCACTATAATTGAAAACAGGGTGGAAAATTATAGTCTATTGTGATGCAAACCTGAGCATTTTTGTGTGATGTGTGTAACTCCACACTCACAGATGGAGAAAAGAGCTGGACTTTGAAATAAGTAAATTAGAGGTGAATCACATTAAACTGAAAACCAGTCTGGGTGTGACTGGACTCATTTGCTCATTTCCTGTGCATTCTTGCCATTTTTCATTTCTGTCTTCAGCTATAATGACATAACTTCAATGTAATTATACTACCATTTACAAAAGTGAAAAGTACTGATCATGCAAAATGGCCCATATTATATATTAGATTACTGGATTACAACTAATGAAGCAATAATTTGTAAGCATCATTAATGTTTCAGGTAACATTTGACTTTAAGTAAAGTGAAGTAAATGATTTATAACAGACTATAATGTAGTTGTAAACAGATATAAAGATATTTTAAGTGTTTATTAATACAGAGTATTTGTCAACAATTATAATTTATCCTATGAAGACATTTGTAACTGTGTTACTATATTGTCATTCATTATCTGTTTATACAGCAGCCTCCTCAGTCTCCTGTTTATTCACTTGATTTTATTGTTTATATGGACAAACTAGGCAAATAATGATTATTAAAGTCTTCATTACTGTATTGGCATCCGGTGAAGCATGCGCTGGTTTAGGAGCTGCCTTTAAGTTGTTACAATAAACAATAAGTAGGTAATACTAGTAGATACTGGTTCAATTCAAATTTCAGATCATGTTATCTTAATGGTTTTGGATCCATCTAAACACTTTTGACAAACATGGAAGGTATAGAAACTGTTGCCCAAGACATTATCGAACCATAAACACAAAGAAAGGTTAATACTTCCATCTGGAAAAACTGTCCCATGAAGGGAGTCTGAGGGGGATATGCTGCAACTCTAAACTCTGCTAAATGTGTTCCATTAATCACATTGTAAAAACCTTGACAACACTGGTTTTCTTCAGTGATTTCAAGTGTCGACTTACAGTAAATAAAAGACAAAAAAAACTGCAGGAAAAAACGTAAATTAACATGGAAATCTAAAGGATTGGAGCTCAACTTTATTGGCTTATTTTTAACTACTGGAGTTTCTTCTGCCAGAAAAAGAAGACGCGGCCTGCCAAAACAAACTATAACGTGGAAAATCCACTCTGGGGTTTTTGACAACCACTTACAGTAACATTGCGAAAATAACCTGGGACACAGCTGACATGATCAGAATAGAAAGTGATTTTCATCACAGTAGCTCAGTGTGATGTTATAATGAAAACTTGGTGATAAAAATGTGTCAGGAAGATAAGGAACATAGCCATCTATATTTTAAATTTTCAGCTGCTATAACGCTGCAACTTTAAGTATAAATCTGTCTTTCCCTTTCCACAAAGCTACAGATAAATATCACAACGTCCCTGAATAGAGTCAGCGAGGGACCATTGTTGCATGTTATCCCTCTCTCCCTTTCTCTCTCCTTTCATTTTCTGTCATCACTATCCACTATCAAAATAAAGGCCAAAATGTACTCCCTAAAAACATAAAAGAAAATACAGATGCAGAGAGCTGTAGAGCTGCTTCTCCCTTTTAAATGAAGCTTCCTTTCACAAACCCAGCGACAAAACAAGACTCTAATCTAAAACAAGACCTCAACACACACAAAGGCAAAAAGTACTGACCAATTTCCCAACCAATTTCTGCAACAGACAGTTCAATCTTACTGTAATGTCTTTTTTTTTTTTAATTGGTCTGAAGACAGGGGTATAATCTTCATGTTCAGGTTTAAAATAGGTATTCTAGAAATAGCCATAATGTGTTTGCACAACGAATCTGCATGATTATATAAAACAAAAGGATCACGTTTTATTTCAATACACTGTTTTCTAAACATTCAAGATCATGAGGTTTATACTTTACACATACACAGACAGGTCCCACACCTGGATGAGTTGTCATGAGAGAAGCAAAACCTGCTCTTTTCCTTTCTCTTTTTTTTTTTTTTACACAAGTGTTTCTAAAGTACAGATCAGTGTAAGCAGACAGCATTAAATGTCAGGAAGGTGGGAACATAATGTGGCACAGAACAGGCGGAGCTCTTTTAATCGGAGGATCTGGCTCTACTTCACTGGCAGAAATGAGTCAGAGTGCTCGTATTAAAACATATTTGCTGTGTGAGTGGTGATTAATATTGTCGCCAACGGTGCTTGAACTCGGTAGAGTGGTGTAAAAACAAAGAGCCGCAGTCATGGCTACCAGGTTACCAAGGGAACAAACCCAGCACAGCTGAGTGGTGCCATCCCAACGTTCACTCTAAAATACTTAATTATTCTACAAGAGCTTGAGCTGATTTTCATTTCATTTGGTTTGCAAAATGAAAAAATAGGTCGCTGCAAATAAACTCCTTTGTGGCCACTTGTTGAAAACAGCCTCTCGTGGGGCAGCATAAACACTTAACAATCTGATGATAGCTGATATTAAAACACAGGCCTGAG